ACCTGATTGGTTTGTGCATCTTAGGCGTTCGTGCAGTTGCCGTTTTAAAAAATGTGGCTTCAATATTCTCGAGAAAATGAGTTTTCCCATAGCGTAAGCTGACTTACGCAATACTAGAGACCTCGGCTTTGGAAGGTCTGAAAGGCCACATGAAGTGACCAGGTGTGAACAGGCCCGATGAGAATTGCTAATATGCATGTGCGGAGCAAAAATCACGGCTCAGTCTTCCTGTGCATGTCAGTTGTTTAATGTGTTTCAACTGTACACGTGTACTCATTCACATTTATTTAGGTTGGGTGTGTCTTTCAAAGAGGATGATCAAGTAAATTCCAAACCTGGGTTTAGCATAATGTTTAAGGTATTACATTGTTGTCCATAGACATAATGATATTTATAGAAACAGTATGTTCTATCCCCAACCCTAAGCATCCCATCATGGAAGATTTTCAGAATTTTTAAATTTAATATGATTTATAAGCTGTTTTTCTCATGGGGATCAAAAAATGTCCCAATAATTTCAAGAAGTTAAGATATTGCCATCTTGTGGGGACATGTTTTCCCCCTATTAATGTTCACCAGGACCACACACACACATACTTGCTTGACTTTCCATAGATTATTTTTTTTATACAGAACTAAGCAATTTTTCTAAGCAATCTCCTAAACATAAACTCACAGAAATCTTTTGCCATTTTGAATAAAAAAAAACTAAAAAAACACACTATTTGGCATATTTTAAGCCATTTACGAGAACACAAGTTCCATAATCAGTTGTGTGTCAGCTTAACTGATAGCTTGAAGGACCTGTCATAACATTTAGTGTGTCGTTATCATGCGTGTACATTGTAATATTTGACTTCATCTTCTCCAAAATATTTTCCCTCCAAACTATTTTGCAGTGAATTTAGTTTTATATTTACAATTTCTATGACTAATCTTGTTTTATATTTAGAATTTCTATGTCTATTCTTTGAAAAACATACTTTGGTGATATAGAGACATGCAAAAACAAAGAAAAAAAAATGAATTAATTAGACCAGCGAGGAAGATGGATGTCAAGTTTTGACAAGAGAATGTCTTGACAGGAATGGGCTAATCACCATGGTGATTGATGTGATATAAACAGACACTAAAAAAGGTGTGACTTCCAGAGAAAGTTATAGGCTGTTTATGTGTGTGTGTGTGTGTTTTAGGGAGTGACATAATCAAAGATTTTTTAAATGTATGGTTAAAACATTGTCTTTATGTCATAGTTGCATTGAAAAGTTGTTGCATCAAACATGTTTTGAAAGAGATATGTATTATTAAGCTTTTATCCATTCTAACATGCTTTAAATCAAGGCATGTTACTGCAACTGAATGTTACCAGAAACAATCTGCTACCTCATTGAATTTATTTAAAGCTATACTTTGGAACTCAAAATTGTAATTACTATTATAGGGTCACAATAGCAAATTGTGATTAGTCGAGAGATTTTTAGGTTCTGACTGAATAATTGAATTTCACAAAAAAATTTTTAACCAAAAATCATCTAGTGGAGGTGTAATTATCAATTTCTGAGATTCTATAAGTACTAATCATTTGATACAATGCACTTATTGTGCACATACATGTTTTTATATTCTCTTATATATTTATTTTAATTTCAATACTTGCGTGTAATTACATCTTTAATTCATTTCTGCAAATACATATATAAATACCCTTCCCTTACAACTTAAATCTATACCCACCTACCTTTAACCCTGTTTGAACATGCTCCCGTCCCTGATGGGCAAAGAAAGTAGGCTATCTTCTGGGAAAGCAATCATTCCTGAGCAATGATTGGAAACCAATTAACGTTATTGGGAACTGTATATCTTCATTGTATGAACGGTATTCATTCCACTTAAATTAACTCATCAGTCTGCGTCTAATGAAGCTATACATGCCGTACACACTTTGGCAAAACAGACGAGAAAGATCATCATCTGGTTGCCATTGCCAATCACAAAAACAGAGCAAAAACAATAGGAAAGGAAAATAGACAGGAATGGTGACTTGTTGGCAGTTACCCAAAGATTTAAAATGTGATTCCTGTGGTAAAAATGTGGTCACCTTGGATTAGTCATAATATGCAAATTAAGTTACAGATTCCAATAACAAGCATGCTGATTTCCAAAAGCAGATTATGCCAGTTTTACTATAAATACGGGCACATGCCTGCATTCTTTAGAATTTTGAATAGTATAAGCACCTCGTTTGGAATATCCACTACTGATGGTTTTATTATTCAACTCATTTCTGGTTGAGTGAATCCTTCAGTTGACTCAAGGCATGAAGGTTACTATGGGCACAAATGTGTTCACTAAACATAGTGAATCAGTTGATTCAGGGAGGTCTCAGATTGATTGCTAATGGGAAAAAGTGATCTTTCTTTCACTTCAACTTTCTTTTTATTCAAATAATAAAAAGCCAGCAATAATAGAATTTCCTAATTGCGTGTGTGCGTACATCTACTTAATAAAGGTACAATGGTGGCTCATCCAGAATTAAATAACATACAATTAATTTAATTCAATTCAATTTCACATTAATTTATGTAGGACTTTTCACAATATTGTTTCAAAGCAGCTTTAGAGAAAACTTTTAAATGTAAAATTTAAATTGCATTACTATTTAAAGTAATCTGTTATCAAAGGTGACTTTAATGTCATAAATGTACATTATATAATACAAATCATGCAGTTAGCTAACATCATTTATTCATTAAGACAGAAACATCATGATCTCATTAAAGGAGTAGTTCACTTTTGAAAAAAAATTTTCTGATAATTTACTCACCCCCATGTCATCCAATATGTCCATGTCTTTCTTTCTTCAGTCGAAAAGAAATTAAGGTTAAAATTCCAGCGTTTTCTCCCTATAATGGACTTCGGTGGGAACCAAACAGTTCAAGGTCCAAAAAAGACCGTTTCAGTGAAAACTGCAAAATGTTCAAAAAGCTTTAAACGATTCCAGACAATGAATAAGGGTCTTATCAAGCGAAACGATCGCTCTTTTAATAAATTATTATCAAAGTTTAAGTTTTATAAGCTCAAATGTTGGCCTTGCTCTGTACTGCGATGCACGTTCGTGACTCTCCTATTCGAACTCGTTCATCAAAATGAACGAATCATTTTCCAAGTGAATTCGTTCGTTGAATGACTCGGAAAAAGATTGTTTTTGAACCAAATGACTCGTTGCAGTTTGTACTGAAAGTGTAGCCCAGAAATCTAGACGCACCCTAGCGGCAGCAAAAATTATTTTGCAGCAAAGTGTGGTCTAGCAACTCTCCATAGACGTTTGAGCTGGAAAACCCCAACTCTGGTAGGGCCAATCACATCGTGTATAGAGTCGGAGGGCGTGCTTAACATAATGATGACAGAGTTGCGACGGTCAGAGCAAGCTCGGACATATTCGGTTTGAAGTCGTTCATCCTGGGATGCGGTCGGCGCCGTGCGCGCTGTTACAAAAAAGCTGTGGCGAAATGATCAACTTGTCATATTTGCCGCGCTTGTGCTGTCAAGTCGAGTATAAAGGCTTTACTCCGTGTCAGAGCGTGCTCTGATCGGTAGAGGTGCACCCCGAAGCACCACTACTCCGCCTCCGTTTCCCTCGTAAGCTGATATTAGTATTTAAACATTCTCTATGATATTATTTTTTTAATGACACACTGCCTCTTTCTCTCTCATACATATATTGGCTAGTTATAAACTCTTAGACTTTTAATGATTAGTGTTTTATTTTTAAAGTTTGTGGGTCGTGTAAAAAAAAAAAATCCCTTATTTTGGGGATGGATTCTGGGAAATCTCCCTTATTTTTAATGTTCAATGTTGACAGCTGGACTGGATACGGTAAAAGTTTATCAATTTGCTCCGCTGAGTACGTCACTGTCTTTTTTGCTCTGATTGGCTTTAGCGCTATCCAATTGCGTGCAGAGAGAATTTGAAAGACAACCATTTATCCCGCCCCTCGGATTGAGCCCTGTCAATGAAGAGTTTCCAGACCTAACATCTTGATGTAGGTCTGGCATGCCAGGCTACTGAAAGTGTCTTTTGGACCTTGAACCGTTTGGTTCCCACTGAAGTGCATTATATGGAGAAAAATCCTGGAATGTTTACATCAAAAACCTTAATTTCTTTTCGACTGAAGAACATGACATGGGGGTGAGTAAATTATCAGCAAAAGTTTTTTTAAAAGTGAACTCCTCCTTTAAATCAACTGTGATCTTAATGATTGGAATGTAAAATTTGGCAGTTGTGTTTGTTGATTCAGAGTTGGCGTCATCTCTTCACAGGTCTTGGGTCATCTAATGTCTTTCTAAGAGGCTGGATCCAAACTGGAGCCTACGTAATCTTGGATGACCAACCCGAGGTAGAAACAGAAAGCAAATAATTAGCGTAGCTGCTGTTCAAAACATTCAAGCAATAGATCTTCATTCGCAATTGGAGTACAAGGTTATGAGATGCTTTATGAGATTCTTGGCTAAAGAGGTGTGTCTTTAGTCTAGATTTAAACTGGAAGAGTGTCTAAGCCTCAAATATTATCCAGAAGGCTATCCTGGAGTTTAGGAGCCAACTGTGAAAACACTCTCCCTCCTTTAGTGGACTTAGATGTCCTACAACCAAGAGTCCAGAGTTTTGAGACCTTAAAGTGATAGAATATTTTGTCATCATTTACTCACCCTCATGTTATACTCACCTGTACGAGTTTCTGTCTTCTGGTGAACGCAAAAGAGGATATATTCAAGAATGTTGGTAATCAAACGGACACTTGACAGTAGGCTAGTCATTGACTTCCATGTCTTATGGCTATCGTCAACTGCCTGGTTACCAACATTCTGTAAAATATCTTCTTTTGTGATCAACAGAAGAAAGAAACTCATACTAGTTTGGAACTACATGAGGGTGAGTAAATGATGACAGTTTTGGTTGAACTGTATCCCAGAGTGTACTGGATTGTAGCTTTATCTAGTGCT